CTGGATCCGCTCCCTGATCAAGCTCATGGTGCAGCTATGCTGGTATTAGCATAAGAGACCATGCAAACACTCAGACCAGAAATGAGAAGCCAGTGTTGGGATAAGCCTTTTCAGGAGAATCCTGTGCTTTAATGAGCTTAGACAAGTTGCAATATTGCATAATCAGATTTTTGCCGTGCTTTTTGCCTGCTCTTCCTGAGGAATATCTCTTTTACATAGAAATTACTTTATTCAAAACAATAGAGTCAAAGTATTTCCACCCCATCCATATGAATTCCCAATCAAACCTCTGTCTTCAGTTTAAGCAAAATAAAAATAAAACCAAAACACAGCATTTAGTTGTTTCTCACAGGTAACTAAGTTCCAGATATTCCCTTCCAGACCCAGCAGTTGGTGTGACAGAGATACTCATCCCTAATGGCCTGATTCTGTTCCCTGCTACAGTTTGGCTGCCTTCACTGATTTGCTGGAGAATCAATTTTTAAGAGCATTTTTCAATGTGCTCCTGACAAAAAGTCACCAGCATTAGTGTAGGTAACTTAAAAGTGTTGCTCTAATTAGCCTTTTTGCAGCAAATCAGGGACTACTCATACTAATTACTGCAGTGGCTGACTGGCAGAGGCAGTGGCTGCCACTGGGGGCATGATAATAATTAGCTATGGGCAAAAATCACCAGCAAGGAGGGAGAAAAAGGCAACAAATAACTATGTTGTAACCAATTCTACAAACACACTACTGGACCTGGAAGAAGGCTGCTTATCCTCGGCCTTCTGCAAAGGCTGGACCACTTCCTCCCTCTCAAGTACAGCTACAGTTGAACACTATGTTCATAAACCTCAGCATCTGAATCATTTACACAACAGTATAAATGCTCAGGGAGAAGTTCATGCAACTCTATATACTCTTCACAGGTAAGTATTCATTATTGTTCAGCCTCACAGAAACAGGAATTAAGGATTACAGGTACACTGGAACAGATGGTGTGTATTCCTTTTTATGTACAATCACACATTAAAAATAATAAACACTCACCCCATTGCAAATTCATCTAGGTTTGTTTTGCCTAAAAGCACAGCTCCCTGATCCAGTAATTTCTGAACTACTGTAGCATTGTAAGGAGAAATATAACCTGAAAACAATCAGAACAATTGAGTGATTTATGAGATACAAATTATTTTTACAAGTAGCCACTCTGAACATTTCAGAATTGTCATTACCTGTGCATAAGAACTGTCAGTTCACAGTGACAGCGTTTTGCTTCAAGGTAAAATGAATAATTTTCAAAATTTAACAAAAGTAAACCAAACGCTGTTTAGTTTGCAACATCCTTTCTTTTCCTCCACAAATTACAATCCAGTAATTCTGGATTATACATGCCTAGAGTGTGGAGCTAAGACTTCACATAAACAAGACACCACAAGGGTAGCAAATTACTGCATTCAGCGAATTTGCAGGAACTGTCTAAAATGAGAAGAAATGAGAAACAGCTCTTTACAGGAAAGTGCTAATCTATCCTAAATTATCTCCCATTACCATGAGATAAAGGAGCATATGGTTAACCACAGGGTGAAATACTAACTGGCTATACTGTGGTCAAACGTGCACCCTTTGCCACTTAGACCTCACATAACATAGGATGAGAATCATGACAGTGACATGAGATCTCAGGTAATAACCAACTAATCTTGCAAATATTGACAGGGGTTTCTCCACCCCCACCTTCAACAGGAACAAGGACATCACTCCTAATACTCACTGCAAAAAATCACAACAGGTCTGATAATGTGCTTTAATGAAAAGCATCTCAGGTAATATAACAGTTTTTAAAATAGCCAAGTCATGTTTTGTTTCTACTGCTACTAAAAGTCCCATAATCAGATTAGGATTCTGCTAATTTACTTGCGTTATCTTCCACAAAACTTTATAGAGTTTTACTTTATGCAGAATAAAATAGATATAAGTACTATTTTCTACTTTTGCTTTTATAATAAAAAAGCACTGTAATGCCTTGAAAATGTTCATGACGTTAATAGAAACAATGAGTTTAGGAAATTAAAAAAAAAAGCATTATACAACATGTTTGTATGTCGGGATTGTTAATGGCTAGTCTTCCTATAGCCATATGAAAAAACTACTTAAGTCAACAATAATCAACAGAACAACAACAAAAAAAGGACTGTCTTTGGATTTTGCTAGGCAGAACAGTACTGACTGCTGTCCTCTAGACCTAAAAGTAATGTGAAGTAAAATGTAAATTTTAGAACAATTCTATTTTAGTATATATGTTATAATAAAAACCGCGTTGTTAAAAGCAGTTAATAAAGTTAACTGTAGTTAACTTTATTAATAATAAAGTTAACTGTAGTTAATAAAGAGATAATGTCCTTAGAAGAATAAAAAGATGCATCTGTGATACCAGATGAATTTGGACGGTGAAATTTGCTAAGTGTATTTCCTCAAATGAGTCCAGCTCATTTTTTGAAAATATTCAGATATCTGGAAGACCCCTCTCCATAAACCGTCTAAAGAGCAAAAGTTCTGAAAGGAGATCTGATTTTACTTTAAAAGCTTTACCGTACCTCTTAGCATGTTTGATGCACATGTTGTCTCAATGCCAGCTGTATTAAAGTTGTCTTTTACTGCAATAGGAATGCCATCTAGAACACCCAGCGGCTGACCTGCATTAGGAATGATTGCAAAGACAACACAGATTAAAGCAAAGTGTGCTATATGTATAGCTTTCTCATCAATTACAGTTTACTTTACATGTCCCTGTGGGTGGTTTTTGGAAGCAAGAGTGCTATCCACTTGGCATTTGATGGTTGTCTGTTGCATTTCCAAGAACCATCTTCCATTCCAACTCTGGCATTGAGCATTCATTCTGCCCAGACCAGACCTGGCTCTGCAGATGTGTCTAAGAGCTCTGCAGATTCGCCTAAGCCTGCAAGACAGGCAGCTGCTTCCATAGACGTTAGCTATCCCACATAGCTCTTCCAATGTGACCACGCAGTGCTTATTTCAGCCATAGGTGCTGCTAAATCCATCACTAGGCTGGGAGCCATAAACTCTGCCTACCTGGCATACACAGTAGAGATCACCTAAAAAATTACTAAAGCAGAGTAAATCTTTCCTAAGTGACTGATTATCAATCATCCAGCAAAAAAAAAAAAAAAAAAAAAATTTGAAAGGCCTGTGTCAGGAATCAAAAATGTCTTAAGCTGCTAGAGGGCAGCAAGTGTCACCCAGGAAGGAAAAAGGTACCCTATTATGTGAAAATTTACCTTTCCTGTCTTTTTTGAAATGCAAAGGAAAATGAGGATGGTCAGCCTCTAAATGCTGCAGATAACAGAACTGAAAGCTGTTCTGTTCATCAATTAATAATTGCAATTAACGAAGCTGCTTTATTTTAATTTGCCTTCTTAATTAAAAACCTGATAGGCTGAGCCAGGTGTTTGCCTACCCCCATCAACAGGCCCGTGAAGGACCACTGAATCTGCCTGTTTGTGGTACCTGCTGCTGGCTACACATCTAAAATAACCTGCTGAGGGAAGAAAGAGGCGCCCAGTAGCAGTGCTGTCAGAGAGGCACAGAGCCTGTTTAACCTGCAGTGCCTCATTTGGTCCAGGTTTTGCCGCTCATTTCTGAACTAAATACTCTCCTGAGTGCCAAGTGTACACTCACAGAAACCTCAACCACAACTCTCATCCCCCAGTAGTCAATCAGGCAGCACACACACAGCAAAGGTCCTTCATCTAACACAAAGAGCTCCTCCGCAGCACCCTTTTAAGGGCTGATATGAGTTACAGAGACACACCTCTTTTGTATCTTTCCTCTGATGCTTCAGCCTGCTTCAAAGCGGTTTCTTCTGCTATGGTAATATAGGCATTAAGAAACTTGGTGCCTTTGATGAGCGACAGGCATTGCTGGCAGAGCTCCGTGGGAGTGACACGACCTTCCTTCAACGCTGCTGACACCTGAAAGTGTCACCAAAAATAGTTGGGAAGAAAGAAAACACTCCAACACCACCTTTTAAGTGCTAGTGAGCCAGGCATTTCTTTATTCTGGCCAGAGAGACTTAGCGAATCATCCCAGCCACATATGTCCCTTTCAAGACTATTCACATGTATTTATACACTTTAGCAAAAAAAAAAAGAAATGAACATTCATTGGTTCTAAATTACACAATTCTCTTAATTTAATTACTATTCTATCTGTTACCGGCTACTTTGGTCCGTATTCTTTGCTTCACTTATCATTCTTGCTTAAGACAGAGAGTCTCCGACTTTGTTAATGCCCTCTGTCTTCTGGTTACTCCAACATGTCTCAGAAGGACCATAAATTTAAGATCCCAGATGACCAACCTTCAATTCCCTCAAGCTTTTTTTATTGAAGCATATCAGAGCTAGTCCAGAGAAACTCAAAGCTTCGGTGATTTAAAGATCAAACCAACAACAGTGTGTAAGGAAAAAAACGGAACCTAGCTACCTGCTACCACTAATTAATATTTTAGGAAAGTTACGTAATTTCCAACAAAAGCGCAACCCCCCTTTCAGGACAGACAGGTGACAGAGCCGGCGCGGGGGCGGTACGGGGATAAAGTGCGATCCCCGCTGAGGAAAGGAGCTCACGGAGTGCTCCCAAGAGACCCGCCGCCCCGGAGAACAGGGGCGCGAGGGGACCCAGGTCACCTGGGTGAGTCTGCCCCGCTCTTCAGCCTGCCCCGCTCCTCAGCACCTCCTCCCCACGCCTCGGCACCCCCCTCCGGGCGGACCATCCCCCCTCACCTGGCGGAGAGAGGCGCGCAACATGACTGCCCATATCCCGCCGCCTCCTCACGCCCGCCCGATCGTCACGACCCTTTTCCCAGCGCGCCGGCCGCAAGCCGCCATCTTGCCGCAACACGCAGCGGCGCCATTGGCAGGTCCGTCAAGAAGGCGGCCGCCCATTGGCTGCGGTGCCGCCGGGGCTGAGCGCGCAGGCGAGCGGGAGAGGCGCCTCCCGGTCCCGGTGCCGGTCCCGCGGCCCATCCCGGCTGCCCCGACCATGCTGTCGCGGGGAGCGGCGGGCTGGCGGGCGCTGCGCTGGGCGGGCAGGCGGCCGCGGGCTCGTGGGCTCCGCGCCTCTCCGCGGGCTTGGAGCGCCATGCCCAGCTGGGTCATAGACCGGTACGGCAGTAACGAGGTGCTGCGCTTCACCAGGGACATGGTGTTCCCCATCATACACTTCCCGAACGAGGTCATCATTAGGGTTCACGCTGCGAGCCTGAACCCCATCGACCTCAGCATGAGAAGTAAGTGCCGACCCCGGGCGCTCTTGGCCGGGCTGCCGGGATGGCAGGGACTGTGCTGGGGCTGCGGCTCCCATGGCCCCCGGCTCCCATGGCCCCCGGCGCGCGGAGTGGTACCTGAGCACCGTCCTTCCCCGGCACACGCCCGTCTGGACAGTGTCCAGGGGCTGCCTCAAAGCACGTGTTGCCCCGAGCCCCGTGGGACACCGCCGCCCCCTGGAAACTTAACTTTTGTCAGGTTCTCAGGGAAGGACGGTACGAAAAGTTCTTTTCAAGTTCTTAGTGAAGAATGATACAAAAATCCACTGAGGGGAGTGTGTGTGTGTTGCTGGGGTAAGCTTTAATCGAGTGACCAGCTGCGGTGCCCTGCAGGCTTGCGCCTCACAAGCCATTATCCTTCTATCAGCAGCATAACCATGGTGGGATTTTCTCTCCAAGTCTCTTCCCCTCTCCCCACCGTCTGGGTGGTGCTACTCTCCTGGCCTGGAGACTTGCCCATCCAGCGTTCCCCCTGAGAGGAGCTGGATTTTCCTATCTCTTTGAGGTGAATGAGGCTGAAGGTCAAAGTTGGTCAAGTCAACATGTGTGACCTACTACTGTCCCCCTGTTGTATATTGCCATGCCCATCCTGAATTGGCACTGAGTACTTGCTGTCATCTCACCCAGGAAATCTGTATCTTTTCCTGTCCAGCTCTTTGTATTTGAAACATTTAATCAGATTTTTTTCCACAATTTCAAGGTTCAAAACAGAAGGAAGTTGTGGTAGTAGAATACTTTATATTTCATGTTGAGAAGTGATCTTACATATCAAATCAGATTCAGTAGAATATGCAAATATATCTTTAGGAAGCCTGCTGACAGAGCTGTAATCTGTGTTTTGAGTCTCTAATAAATGCATTCAAAAAAATCTTTGTATATAGTTGGGGCTTTCATTATGAGACATTTGCTACCTGAGGATTTCTGTTAAATGACCCACTTTATCTGCGGGGCTGCAAGTAGTATTTTGAGTCAGTTATAAAAGTGTTTGAAAGAAACTATGTTTTCATCCTTCTTTCAGGCTGCCTGCTTTTGTTTTTGTCTCTTTTCAGTATTAAGACGCTTTCTATCATGATAGGCCACCTAGGCAGTCTTGTCCACATACTTGAATGGGTGTATGTGCCTCAATGCAGACTTCTTTTAGGCTGAGCATAGTTATTAGATGGGTAATTCTGAGACTTAAAAGCATTTATGTGTTACTTACTGAATAGAAGTTCAGATTACTCATCTTAGGAGATGTGCTGTAATATTTTTTTACAATGATGTTCATGTTGCTTTTTACAGTACTTTATTTGGAAAGACAGATGGAAAGCTTGGAGTTCTTTTAGATTTCTATCTGTGTGATGCTATTGGAAAATAGGACATTTCCAGTATTTTAAGTGGACTTAGAATTTCTGACAGTGTTATCACATGCTAAATATTTTTATAATGGAGAGTCATCTTATGGATAAATAAGCCAGAATGAGGTTTGCTCTTTATTTATTAAATCTGTAAAAATACAAAATATTGCAGATTTTTTGCATGCTTGAGTTATAACAGAATTGAGGCACATTTTGTACCGACAATGCTTTCTAATTGGAATTGTCCAGTTAATAAATGATAACTCAGTATGGTATGTCATGGTTAATTTCCTGTTTTGCAGGTGGTTATGGTGCAACCGCCTTAAATATGAAGCGAGATCCCCTGAAACTCAAAACCGAGGAGACTGAATTTCCACTAACACTTGGTCGAGATGTCTCTGGTGTTGTTATGGAATGTGGACTGAGTGTGTCTTATTTCAAACCTGGAGATGAGGTGGTACTACCAATCTCTTTTTTTTTTTTTCTAACATGTATAGTTAAAATATACTATAAGATGTTCAGCTTTCATTTTCCTCTTTATTTTCTTTAATATTGGTGCACTCTTAAGGAGGCCTATCTGGCAATAAATTCCTAGAATGCTTTCTTCCCTTCATTTTTTCGTCTGAAAAATATGGTCTTCCAGAGACTTGCTTCTGCAAGTTAATTACCCTTCTGTTTTTTAGTTTTTGGCCCATTTCATTGGTAGCAAGAGTGGAATTTATTTATTTTTAAGTGCACACTTAAAATGTTGCTTCCTTTTTCACTGAAGATAGAATTATGACAGGAAGGGATTAGTTGTTTTTTTCATGAGTAATTTAGGATAGGAACTTTGGCTTAACTCAAAAACCACTTCACGTGTCCCGACACAAATACTATTTGCTTTCACCTTCATTGGTTGCTTTCATATTTCAGCAGTTTTAGTATAGCAAATTCTGATTCTGCACCACCCCCACCCCTATAATCTGGGCTTTCCTGGTGTGGGACTAGTTTGGGGGGTTTGGAAAATTATGTGTTATACGTAGTGCAGTGGTACAGTCACACAGTCATCAGTTTTGTGATGGTTAAGCTAAAACTGGTTTCTGATAAACAATGAAGACATTCTGCAAATTGGAAAAAAGATATTTTTAAGGAAGGAAGCTTTTCTGTGTACATACAATCGTGTGCAAAATTAAAAAAATTGATATTTGTTTTCTGTTTGGTTTTAGGTGTGGGCAGCAATTCCTCCATGGAAACAGGGCACTCTGTCAGAGTTTGTGGTAGCTAGTGGAAACGAGGTAAACTTTAAAAACTGTGGCTAACAGACGAACCCCCAAAGTTGTAAAGACTGGCATTTTTCTTCTTGAGTGTCTAAGTAACTGTTCATTTCTTAGTGCTCGGATTCATTTGTACTCCAGCTAGTTATGAAGATGGTTGAAAAAGTGCAGTACACAATCTGCAATTCAGTAAAGCTTGCTTAAGTATTTCAGTGCCTCATAGGATCTGCTGTGTGACTTACATATGATTTTATTTCAGGTGTCTTTTAAGCCAAAGTGTCTCAGTCACATAGAAGCTGCTGCCTTACCATATGTTGGTCTCACTGCATGGTCTGCACTTAACCAAGTAGGAGGACTGAACAAAAGTAATTGTAGTGGGAAAAGGTAAGTGAATAATTTTGGTGCTAAAATTAAAGTTGTTCGTTTTTATATTGATGAGCTGCTAAGACATGTCCAGCAGTGATGAAGACTGTTACACCCTGACATTCACAAAGACCGATGCCTGAAGATGTTTAGTTCAACCTACCCAGCTGCTGAGAGAGGCTTCTTTAAGGGAGGCTCAGATGAGGTCCATAACTGAAGTGTTTACTGAATCACTTGCTGCTCACTTCCTCTATGTAGTGACTGTATAAAGGTAGGAAATGCCCAGAGAAGTTGTGGATGCCCCATTCATGGAAGTGTGTAAGGCCAGGTTGGATGGAGCTCTGGGCAACCTGGTCTAGTGAAAGGTGTCCCTGTCCACAACAGGGGGTTGATTTGGAACTAGATGATCTTTGAGGTCCCTTCCAACCCAGGCCATTCTATGATAATCCAATGTATATCTAATGTACAGACTATATAGAGAATTTAAGGATGTTATCTCTAGAAATTTATAGGGACTTTGCCTTTCTGTTTGCCTGTCCTGTTGGGACAGTTAGCCAAATGTAGTATCCTCTCAGTTATTTGGCAACTCACAAAAAGCCCTCTCAATCACAGAGATATGGTTCACTCACTTTCTGCATGCGTGGACCATTTGGAACAGACTGGTTTTCCAGCATTTTAGAGGAAAATGAGTAGGTGACCGAGTCTTATTTGACCTGCAGGCCAGAACTTTGATGAAATCAGGAATGCAGACAAGAAGAGGAGAACATGCAAGACAAACAGCCAATCAAAGAGAAAAATTGGCTTTGTTTATCAGCCTTTTAATCTGACAGTGGCAGATGAGGAAAAATGCATTGAAAGATTTGAGCAAATACCATTTTTCTTCTGATAATTGAACTTTGCAGTTATTTTGACCTTTAGATGTTTGAGTAAATAGATAGCAAGACCTTCAGAATGGAAATAAGGGCAGAAGTAAAAATACTGGAGTTGAAAAAATAATAATTAAACTTACTATGCTATACCAAAAATTTAGGTCATAAAGTAATTATTGGGCAGTAGGAGTCTAGATGCCTGACCCTCCTCTTATCTTGGCTGATACTTTGTAACGCAACACATTGCAAAAAACACTAGATCTACTGAAATTCTTCACTCACATCTTTAGAAGATATGTCACAGTAAATTTCATCATGAAAATACTGAGCAATTGTTTGTTCAAGAGATAAACAATGTTTTGAGAAAATTAAATTGCAAAATTTAAAGGAGTTTCGAAGAGACGTCACTGAAATTAACTTCCAGCTAGTAGTAAAATTCTAGATAACATTGCCTTACTTTTTATTTTTCAGTATTTAGACTTTTTTTATTATCTTAACTTTTACATGTAAGTAGAATTAATCTAAAGATATGTTGATAGGCTAGCCTTATTTAAAGTTTCTTTCCAATCTTCAGGTAAGTGTTCAGATTGTTAAAAGTAAAATTCAAATTGTATTTATAAAGTGTCTTTACATTTAATATTTACTTTTATGCTCCAAATAAATATTTAAGTACTCTGTCAGAAAAAAATTATTGTAATTATAAAATATTATTCCTACCTAGACATTTTGAACTGTAAAACTAGCAGCAAATTACTTATGTGATGGTACTTTTTCCCCCTGCAGAATTTCTTGTAGGAAAATATATGAAGCGCATTGAAGGGGCTGTGCAAAATTGTATTCCTGAACTCTCAAGACAATAATTTAAAAATACAAAAATTTATACAATGTTTCTTGATTCCTTTAAATAATATATTTGGTAAGGACTTACCTACATACATGATTTTATGTTGGTCTTTTTGTCTCCTGCAGGTGTATATAAATAGCTATGTAGAAGGGTGTATGCACACCCAAGAGTGTGTCTTATTTTGACAGAGCAGCTGTATTCCTTGATGAAAGTGACTTCACTAATACTTTATTGCAGTGTTAAGACATCTTAAAAAGATGAGATTTTTCTGCTGGTGTGTGTTGTTTTCTTTGCCTCTTTTAAGGTGGAAGGGTGGGCTAACCAGAAGTACTTGCTAACAGCCCAATGTCTGACTGTACTTTGATCTGACAGGAATCTCTGCTGATCTGCACACGCTTTCACAGATCTTTTTTTTACAAGTTACCTGAAATGTGCTCACACTGTTTGTGAAGCCTCCTGCTTCACTGTAATTCCACTCGTTTCTCCATAACTTTTATTCTCTATGACTGTAATTAATGTCAATATTCTTGTACGAGCTAAAAGTGAATGTTCGTACTGTACTAAATGTTCAAAATTACTCTGTTGTTTTGAAGTTTGCTGTGAATACCTGGAGAGCTTCTTCAACACTAGCTGTTAAATATCTTACTTGCTGTATTCACAGAATGCATGATAAAAACAAACCTTACAGTTTGACAAGTTCTTGAAAGTTTGCATATACTGTTAAGTAAAGATCTTTTTATAAATATAGAGGCAATATTTTATACTTTTAAGTATGCTGGGGAGAGATGCTGGATTGTTTTACTGTAAGCTATTAAACATACACTCCTGGTTTATATTGTTACAATGAAAATTTGAACGGTATAATACCCCAAGAAAATATTTTTTCCATGTCTATATGTTATTTTGTCATTTTATCTGTTGAGAAGTACAAATTGAGTGTAGGTTTTAAAAATTCCTGATAAGGTAAACACTTTTTGATCCAGGAATAAGTCTCTTGGGGACATTTTGTTGGCATAATTAAATGAAATTTAATTTTATATCTAAATAAAGTTGATATGTTTATTCAATGAATACATTAATTTTATGCCAATATAAAATTTATGTATTTATTCAATACATATATTTTTATTTTGCATGTACCTGAGTCACTGAAAATTGTTAGTTGTTTATAATCCAGAGAAAATGTTAGTCCTTGATCTGTACACCCACTCCCCACCCTATGTGTGTTTTGCTGGAGGGGACACACAGCTGAAACAGGTCCTGGCTCTCTGATGCTAGTTTCTGATCACACCATAGTTTCAAGCAGGGCCCAGGGAGAAGGGCGAAACTCTCATCTCATGGTATGCTTATCTGGAGAGATCTGCTGACTTCCTGATCAGTTGAACTCCTAGAGTCCCTCATATGGGACTTGGTGAATGTTGTGTCTCTGTCAGAAGGGAGGAAACCCTGGGGTGCGAATGTTCATTTTGTTCTTTTGATCTCTGTAGGGTTAAGTGATTTGTTAGTTTGTTCCCTTGTACACATACTCTATTAGTTTACTACTAGCTTCCCTTTGCAGTGAAAACAGGTAGTTTCTACGATATTTTTTCTCCTTTCTGTGTTTTCCTGAGGCAGTGCAGGTAGAAAATTTCCTGAGGTAGAAAATAGCCCCGTAACATAGGAACAAACTGAATCTGGAAAGTATTTCTACCTGAAGAATCTTAAGGGCTTTTATTGAAGGGGAAAATAAAAAAAAGTCCCAGCCAAGCAGCTCCCCAAACTGAAAATGTTACCTAAATCTTTTGAGCAAAATGTACATTTTAAGATGACAACATTCCCCAAAATGTGTAGTGGAAGACATGCCTTTTAAGCAAGGAGTAAAATTGTAAGGGTGACTTATAAAGGTTATTTTGAAAGGATTTAATTGTGACTGTCGTTTTTAAGGATAAAGATGGGCTTAACCCAGTATCTTGAGTGTAGCATCCTTGAGCCTTTTCAAGTATAATAAAGTAAAAATATGCATGTTACTTCAGGCATCTGTTGTTAGAAGCCTAGTTCTGTGGATAAGTACATTGTGGCAGATTTAAAAGCTTCAGGCATTATGGTTTCATATTCTTAATCTGAATTTTGCAGCTTGGATCAGTGAAACAGGAGGGAACAGAATCTGATCAGTTACAAAAGAGGAAGCATTTTAAAATGGATACTGTGACCAAAGCCAAGTCTCTTAGGTTACTTCAAAGAATTTTTGTAAACTGAGACTCTAAATTGTATAGTACAGTTTTGTACTGTAAAAAGCAATTTCATTCAACATCCAGCACACTGACATTTAAAACAGGAATGTTTTAAACCAGCTTCTGAAGATTCTGAAATTTTCCTGGCAGACAGAAGTTGTGAGAAACTTGATTGCCAATCCTATGCCAGGACTTCATCTTGAATCTTCCTTTTGTCCTAGAATTAGCAAATAGGCCCAAAGTCCTCGCAGTGTCTGTAACTTGAGCTACAAGGTTTTCTACTAATCAATTTTCTAATGTTTAGTTACTTAATAAAATATCTGGATGAAATTTTTGAACAGTGATTCGGCTGCTAGCAGTAAGATCTTCACATGAGTAAACTTGCATTAATTTTTTTTTTAATTTAGACTGATAAATTCAGTTAAAATGAACTCTCAATTGCTAATAATTTGGTAATTTTTCATTTTCTTGCTTGTGTGGCAGTTTCCACAACCTGACATTTACAATTTTTTTTGAGATGAACTAGAAAAATTCTACTGCCTTTCTTCTAAAGAGAAAGACAGATAATTTAATAGAAATCAAGCTTGTTCATGGTGAGGGTACTTCATTATATTTTTGTCTTTTAGAGAAATATTATGCAGTATGGGAAAATTATGTTCCATATATTCTGAAGTTCACAGTCTCCTTAAATAATGTGATATTAAACTATTTTTTCTCTTAGATGAGACCAATTTGTGTAAAATGTTGGTGAATCAGATTTTTTTCCTTAGGAGATAGGACAGCGGAGTCTGGGAGACAGAAAGCATTCTTAACTGACTTTGTCCCAAACTAAACAATGATGTTTGGGAAAGTGAGGACAGGTACAGGGGTTTTGGGTGATAAATGTTATAGCCTGACAGCTCCACTGCTTGCATTTAGTGGAAAGCACATCTGAGTAAGTCTCTTTGGCTATGCTGAGATAATGCTTTTGGCACACGACATAAGATCAGCAATGTTAAGGCACATTATCAGCTATCTGAAGAGTTAACCACTCTTGAATAACATTTAGTGACAAATACAATCTTTTGCTTAAAGTAGTTTGGTGTCAGAGATGTATAAGGAGCATTAGAATACATAGTTACTGTAGAGTTTGTTTAAAAAACTGTTTAATACATTTTAATTTTCTCTTACAGAGTATTAATATTAGGAGCTTCAGGAGGAGTTGGTACATTTGCTGTACAGGTAATATAAACCAGCATACCCAGGATGCATCTTCAAACGATTCAGTGTGGAGAAAAAAAAGTAACAGAAGGGAGTTGAGAGAAGGAATAGAGAAATATCAAGCTACTGATTAATCTGTCTGATCAAGCTGATTAATATTTCCAAAAGTGAAATATTTTCAGATTTATTGCTTTCCATCTGTTACATTGTATTAATTTAAAGTAGGAAGCGGGGACTTTCAAAGAAAGGAATTGTATCTAAGACTGCATTTCAAAATTTGGGTGCAGGAAGTTTCTGATTGTTGTAACTTGAAATATGTAGCCTGTTCTCATCACCTTTCACTCAGCTCTGCTCTATAAATACAAACAGAACTTGGTGTATGAGTAGAAAAACTGATGGAGTATCATCTACTACAACTGTTATAGCTGGTCAAATGATGTGGGAGGCCACCAGGCTTTTATGTGCAGTGGCTTAGATTAACTTTCCTTCACTGTCTTTGCCCTGCTGCCCTTTTGTCTGTCTATTCCAGTAGCTCTAAATTTTGGAGAGTCAACATGCTCTTTTGTTGATCCATTAGTTGTGGAACATCCTCTTTTCATGCTCTCAGTTAATTTGGGTATTTTGATTCTAATCACTGTTGTCTCATCCTGAAACATCTTTCTCTCAAGAACATGAAAAAAATACAGCAGTTGGGTGATTGCATCACTGCGTTCCATGCTACTAGGCCATAAACACAGTGGTTTTAAAGAGGCTTACAGGAGAAGTTTTTGTGGTATGCTGTTTGCCTGATCCATGATAAAGCAGGTGACTACCTTCAGTACAAAAGGCTGACCAACCACTGACTAGTTGCAATTTGTAACTGATTAATCCTGGTTAAACTACATTAATTAATCTGGAATAAAGGTAAAAAATATTAGTGTGAATGAAAAAATGAAATGCCAATAGAGAGAAATAACTAGCAAAAATCCTTTACTTTGCTATAGCTTTTGGAGTATAAGATAACCTGATATTGTCCCTGTGGTAAATCAGAGATGACTTACTTCTTTTTCTTGTTACTAGTATTTAACCTATTTACAGTAAGATAGATATATGAAATACTTAAAGGGCATATTTAAAAATATTCAGTGGTTGATCTGGTGACAGTTTTGTAGATTGACAACTTGGACAGTACCTCTTAATGTACATTTAGCTGGCAGATTCAGATGGCAAACTGAGTATTTCATTTGGAGCCTTATTTGTTGTGAGACCTGGTATCTTTAAGTGGCATAAAAAACCCACCCTTTTATCTTCCTACCAACTCCTCTGTCCCCAAAACCACCTTAAATATTGATAAATTCCAGTCATTATTTTGTCTGTGGGATGTGTGAGAGATTATTCTGTACTGGAACACAGTCTCTCACTCCCTATTAAAGGTCCTCATTTGTTATATAAATATAATGAGACTTTGGCTTTTTAAGTTGTTCTCAATGTTTCACTAAATTTTAATCTTTGGACTTCTCCTTTTTTTTATACTTGTTTTTAGCTAGTGAAGGCCTGGGGTGCTCACGTGACAGCAGTTTGTTCTCATGATGCCAGCACACTGGTGAAAAAGCTTGGAGCGGATGATGTGATTGATTACAAATCTGGAAATCTGGAAGAGCAACTTAAAACATTACCCTTGTACGTGTTTGTGTTGCTTAATACTGAGATGAAGGAGTTAGTGGTCAGACTGTCCGTCTTTTGATTGCTTGACTCCAGTCTATCAGAACTCGCTCATTTTTATTTTTCTTTTCCCATTTTTAAAGCATTATTTTGTAAAGCAAATTCACCACAACCCTTTGTGAATGCAGTTTGCCAAGTGAGTATCCCCAGCACAGATTTCATTGTAAGACTAAGCCAGTTAATTGGGCTTGTGGTGGCAAGCTCATTTCCACGTGCTTCTCTTCAATGACTGTGATTTGAACAGTTTTGTCAGCTTCCATCCAAGGATCTTGGAGCATATGCAATGCATGAATAAATTAAAATAGGTTTCCAAAATCCTGTGTGAGGTTGGTAAATAGTAAAATTGATCTTGTAGAGAACTATGTCGTGAAGCAGTGAATTGACTTGCCACTGTGCAACTCAATTGGGAGTAAATTTCTCTTCTGTAACATTGAGTACAGCTGCCTCTCATAAACAATTACACTTATCTTGTCACAGCAGTTATGTTTAAACTAACTTGGGAATTTTCTCTAGAACAGAAGTATTTTTTGCTTTTGTAATCTTTCCATCTGTTTAAACTTAGTCTACTGTGACTTGTATTTGAATATGGTATTTACACTGCTCTTTTTAGGTAGATTGAGCTAACTTTCTGGGAGGGGAAATAGAAGCTGCTCAGTCTCTGAAAGAATTTTACTGATAACTCTGCTAAGAAGCCACATGCCCTTTAACTGCAGTGTGATTGTCAGCAGGCCTGAGGGCAACTGCGAGGGTACTGACACTGTATGGGCAGGACATGCAGCAACTGATTTTGCAGTTTGCAATCAGTGCTAAATTTGCCTTTTTGCAATTCAACACTTTAATGCTAAACACTCATTCTAGCAAGTGACCCTTGTTAAGACATATCAACAGCAGTGTCCTAGGGTGCAGTTTTATGATACAACTAGGCTGATCAGTCAGCTATACTGAGAGGGGTGTTCCTACTTCCCTCCCCTTTTCAGTTGTACTGACTTCAGAACCCATAGTGAACTACTTTTTACCAGGAGCATTAGTTTTCATGATCTGTTCCTGTTGACAGCTGTTAAATTGACTGAACTCTAAACATGAAATCACATCCTTGGAAGATGAGGCAGGAAAACTGCCATTCCAGACATAGGAACTTTTCTATTTAATTTGCATAAAGTATTTTCCCTCTTATTTGTGGGTTATTTGGATTAGAGGTATGCGTATACACATATATATGGAAATATGGAGATTGCTGGAAGTTTACAGATGAAAATGAGAATGAGTTATGCATCTAACAGAACAGGTGCATAGCTCCCTGTTGCTCTATTCAGCCTTTACAGGCTCACATGCTGGGATAATGAGAAGGAACGCTGAACCTGGCTTGTTGCCAGAGGCTGCATATACCCATTCCATGGGGGGAAAGTTTTAGACCCATTGCATTGTTAGGTTCAACGTTAAATAGGTAGATGTGAATGAAAGAGCTGCCAGGAGAGGTAAAATGGCCCCCAAACAAATAAGGAGGTTAAAAAAAAGACTTTTAGAAGTGAAGCTGAGAATCGGGTCACAGCTGAGAAGTGGGTGAGGAGATAAGGATTAGTAGAATAATTTGTTTATGTAATTTTAGCCACTGGAACTGACTTTCACGTGAGTACATGTGATGTACAAGAGATGTTCCTAGTGAGGGCATGAGTCCAGACTAGTTTTTACATGCACGTACCATATTGTTCAGTGCTAGGACCAGACCTCAAGACTGTTCCAGTGGTCTCTGTGGGAGGGCTGAGGAGACAGAGCTCTAGAAGGCTTTAAGCAAGTAGAGAATGTAACTGTGCATCTATGTCTGCTTTTTGGAGTTTAAGTGCCATTTAAGTTATTTAAATAGTCTGTGTCCGCTGCACAGTGAATGGGCAATAACCTGTAAGTTTAAATCCCGTTGTACAGTAAAGCTGGGATTTAGCTGAAGTCTTGGGACTTTCTTGCTACTATCTTGCAGGCTGATTATTTTTTTGCATTGCAGCGACACATAAAAATGTGAAGTGTAGCAAATTTCTGCTATTAATTAGCTTAATTATGGTGAAATTATTTTTTCCATATCATAACTTTAAACCTGTTCTTAATGTCTGCAGATTCGATTTTATCCTAGATAATGTTGGTGGATCCACTGAGAAGTGGGCATTAGATCTCTTGAAGAAATGGTCAGGAGCAACATATGTTACCTTAGTGACACCTTTCCTGATCAATATGGACAAACTTGGAGTGGCTGACGGCATGTTACAAACAGGAGTCACTGTTGGTTCCAAAACTCTAAAGGTATTTGACAAAATCCTATATACTTTCATATTTTGTATTACTCTAGTGACTGCTTTTGTAGCTTGGATGCTAGTCATGTGGCTCATGTAGAGGCAGCTGGTGCATTGTCCTTATATGTCATTAAGTATACTTGAGATGCACTATTATTCTTTCCTTCTTTCTTGCACTGAAAAGAAATGTGGTGGGCTGGTGCTGTTGGGTGTATGTGGTAGTTTGGGGAGCTTTGAAGTTTTGATTCCTTATTGTGCTTTCCGCTGTGGCCTTTTCCATATGGCCTCCCTAGTGAGTCCTGCTGACAGCCAGCGTTTCATAGTAAACAGAGCAAATCCCTGCCTCATTGAAATGAGAGCAGTTTTGCTACTTGCTTTGGGCCGGTCAGGCTTTCTCTCAAAACGTTGTTCCCTGACTAATTCTCTTCATCCTGTTCCAGCACCAGAGAGTAATAAAAGTGATTGAGGGTGGCTAGGAAGTCTTTCATCTCTTTCATGTTCGTGTGTCTGGATGGTGATACTGATTTTTCTAGTTTTCATAAGTGGATCTTAAAACATTCTGCCAGTGGGGCATTCTGATCAGTGGGGCTTTTTAGAACTTTCTCTTCTCTCCACTTGTGTACTTGCTCTCCAGATGAATGCTTTTCAAGCAGTTGCTATGGTATTCCTGGGATGACTTGACCTAATGAGATTCTAAGTCCTGCACAAATACTTTCACAGTAAAGCCCAAAAACAAAATGAAAAGGCATTGAAGAAATAATGTAATATATTTCTCAGTGTGCATATTTCAGTGATGAGGAGGATTCTATGCCATGTATTAAAAATCATCTCTCTTTAGCAGAGGATGGCTCTTTTTTATTAGTGACTTACTCAGAAGAGGTGCTCTTGACTTGTGCTTGTGAGATCTTCCCAAAATGTTTTTCATGTGAGCTGCCATCTGTCATTGTGCAGTGATGATTTTGGCAGATATGACAATGGAAAAATACAATCACTAACACTGAAGTGGAAGGTTCTAAATGCCACATTGCTGGGATTATTTCACCCCCTTTGTGAGTGTGCATAAACATATAGTACCACTTCTTTCTTATGTAACACCTAATACCGTTTCTAGTTGTAGAAACTAGGTAGTTGTTTTTCTTTACTAGCTGACTTGTGCAATTGGACACAAAATTCGTCCTGCTCCTGTTGTGGTAACAAAACATCCCAGTCTGTACATTTCATCCACCTGCTTAGGTGACCTTTTTTTCGGACATTAACATATTTCCATGTCTTTTCCTTAATTTACTTCTCTAGGTATTCTGTCATTAATTTTAGTTCCCATTTCAGTTTGCTCTCATGATTTGTTACTATATTTGTGATCTTTCTTGCAGCATCTTCTTAAAGGAGTCCATTATCGGTGGGCTTTTTTCATGCCAAGTGGCCCAAGTTTGGATGAAATAGCAGAACTAGTTGATTCTGGAAAGGTATGTCAGTAATGGTTATTTGGGTATTTATGCTGAAAGAGATGCTGCTTTGACTCAGAAATTATGTAGGTTCACTATTGGGGAATAAAATTTTATGAGATTCACAGTGAGGAAAACTAGTTAAGAATCGACTTGCTCCAGTTTCTAACTTCTGTCTTTTGCATCAAATTTAGGAGTTCATAATCCTTAAGACTGTTCTGCCTTCTCCTCTCGAGCGTGTGTTTTCAAAAACACAAAGCTTACAAAGGTATAAGGAAGTAATGCCCAGTGAATGTTTATTTTTGCCAGTGGGAATTATTTAGCATGAACTCTGTCTGGTATTGAAAATTAAGTTTTAAGAGGTCTCATTTGGTTTATTTTGTCAGAATAAATATGAGCGTGGCCCTGCATATGCAGAATTGCTTAGCCTGGATGGTCGGGCATCCTACCCATTATATGCCCAGAACTAGAATATTCTGGTTATTGCAAGTCATAGATGATCTGCATTAGTAGAGTGGTGACAAGAATCTTGTGTTTCATTATTTCAGTCCTTCAGAGTATGATGTTTGTGCTAATTCAGCACAGTGACTCGGAATATTGTCAGCATTCATAAGCTTGCAGGGAATCCCAGTGCACTTGGGGGAAAAGCACAAAGTGCCAGATAGATTGTGGTCTGCTTTTGTGGTCTTTTCAGGTTTATGAGCTTGTTACAAAATGTATGTGGGAGTGAACAGTTGATTTCCTGTCTCTTGGATTGTGTGGTGCTGTAGATTCTGGCAGTGTTCTCTTTGGGAATTTTGGCAATGTGAAATTATCCAGGAGTAGACAATACGGACAACTGCTGTTAAGCTTTCTATGTGGTACCGAAGCAGGAGAGTAAGCAGAGTCTGCCATGACTGCTGGTAATTCCAGTCTGTGAACTGCCAAGCCATCTTGTGCTCAAAATTTGTCAATATTAGTAAAACTTAGATCTCTCAAAGTTTTGAGTGTTGATCCCTTTTTTTTCGGTATGCAATGTGTTCCAGAGTTTGGAGAAGAGTAAAGAAACTGCTGTTGTACTTTAGACCTGATTGCTTCTATTTGCCACCTCAGTGCTGTTGCTGCTAAGAATAAAAACCTTCCTGAATTCAGCCACTTCTATTCCTCTCTCATGAACAGTGTGCTGTTGAAACAACCAGTGGAAAGTCACTATTTCCTAAAAACTTACCTACTCATAAACAGAGGTTGCAGCAACAAATAAGCTGTGGGGAAGTATGTTCCTGGCTACAGCTTTGCAGCTCTCTGCTTTGCATTATGTCCAGTGCTGTAGGCATTATCCTATGGTCAAGAAAGAAACCATAGGAGATGATTCTCATGCTGTGATTGCACTCAGTCACACTACTAAATTTTAAGTGTCTAAGAAAAAGAAATGCCCTTGTCTTTGCTCTTACCACTTGTCCTGATTCTCACCTCAGTCATAATTTGTTTTGTGTTCTGTTTTTACCTTGTATGCAAAACAAATGCAGAATATGCCCATGAAAGCCTCTTGGGAAACACCTGTTTATGCAATAGAGATAGGGCTTAATCGGTGTTCTCTGTCTAATAACCTGGACAGGTGAATTGCAATGCCAGTTAAAATGTACGTCATACATATATGAATGTCCTGATGTACTTTTGGTTGTAAGATGATCATGAGGACAAAGATGTTTGCTTGGTCTTTTATTTTCTGTCCTAATGTCATACTGTCTGCAGTCATCATTCTAGCAGCATTTTACTCTATTTCATACAATGTTGTAAACATCTGTGCTGTCATCAGTATTTTGTAAGACCCATATGTGTTCCATTTAGACAGATATTAATAAGACTATGACCTTTATTGTCTAGACACAAGAGTTCTCTTAAATGGACAGACCATCCATTCAGAAGAGTAGGTGTTTGGAAAAAAGACAGGAGAGAATTACTGGAGGAATTGTACTGCAATTTCCTATAAGTAAGTGAAAATAAATGTTTATGTTTGAATAGGAGAGAATAAATTAAAAAGACACAAAGCAATGAAGCGTATCGAGAAGGTTTGGGGAAGCCAGCAAATTGAGTTCTGTAGTTGAACCTGTTAGTTTTGAGTGAACAGATTTGAGTAATGCAGATTTTAGTTATTTTGAAATTTCAGTCTTTTCTGTTACAGACGTCTTAATTTTGAGATTGTATGAAGTATGATGAGCTGGTAGTGCAAAGACGGAGAATAATTTTCCTTGTGTAATTTACCTGCACGTCAGCTCAGTTCTGGAAACCGCAAAATCATTTTCAGTTTACGAGCCGTTTTCTCTGCCTTGCAGCTGGACATCTTGCAAAGAGACTGAGGGGCTGGGAGGCTCCTGCAACAGTAATGGGCACGGAAAAAATCAAGTTTTATTTCCTTGACAAATTTAGAGATACTGGCTACTTAATAAATTGCTGGGAAATCCCTGTTATGGTTTGAAACTGCAGCAATTATGACCCAGTAAGGACTGGCTTAATGTGGGCTCCACCAGGGCATGTCAGAAGCTACTGTATCTCTTTCCATGGCAGATGTTCCTCATGAATTACAAGGTTCTCATCTAAACACAACTGAAATCAACAGAGCCTTTAATTCAGGACACAGGTCTGCTGGCACACTGTTTGCTGAAGCATTGTCACTGAAAAGCTTGTTAGGAATTAATTTGATATATTTGTGGCCAGTGTCGTGCATTTTACATTGACAGTCTTGGTTTTTTCTGCTTGCCTAACAGTTTCCTCCTAAGGACATGTCCTTGGTGAAATTAGACCAAATTTGCGTAACTACTCAAGTTGGAGAAAGCCTCTAACTTACAACTGAGCACTTACTTTGCCTTTTATAAAGCCTGATGGAGGAAGGCAGTCTCAGAAGACTCCTTAGTAAGGGGGAGTACTAAGTATGTTGTATGTTCCTGCAGGACCATGATAGGATGTGGGTTAACATGCAGACCTACAGAAATGTGACATTTTCATTTTAATTCAGTGCTATTTAAATGCAGTACAAGTGTGTGTGCAGTGTTTCTGGTGACTTAATACTCTTTCCTTCAGGGCATAGTTGCATCAGATGGGCTGATGGATGAAAGTTGTTTTTGCAGAAGGAAGGCTAAAGGGCAAGTGGAGTCTCCAATCATGAAATTAACAGACCATTCTCTGTGATGTTTGCTTTCTAGATAAATGTTCCAACACAGGCACCAATAGGAAAAACAATTGCATGCCTATATTAATTTAATTTGTGAGTAGTGTTGATTATACATTTTGCTAAAGACATTAGATGCTTTGGACTTAGCACCTGTTGTTGTGGTTTGGAGGACAGATACTGACTGTTCTTTGGCCCTGCTGCTGTCTGCTTGTGCAGTGCTGAACAAATCACATAACCTTTTGCTACTATTATTTCTCAATCTACTAACGAGGGCTAGTCCACCTGTCATGATTTGCTCTGAGATACCCTGTTAAAATGTGGAATTCAGTTGTTTTCTATTGCTGGTCCTTGCTACTCAGGAAGTAAATAACACAAATGGATATGGTCATCCACTTTGCCATTACGTGGGTTTTGAAGTTGTTGGGATGTCTATGATTTAAGATGGCTTACGTTCCTCCCGCTACCACACGTTATTGCAGCTTCTGGACTCTGTATCCTAACCTGTGTGTATTAATTTGCTTCCAATTCATCTTGTTACAGTTCTGCAAGTAACTTTTTCCCTGGCCCTTGTTGCACAATTGTTGCCATTTCTCTCATCTGTATGAATATTAAACAGTGAATTTAACATTGAGTCCTTGAATGTTCTCCAACCTGGCATCTATAGATGTGGCCTTCTCTGCATTCTCACCAGTCTTTATGGCTGTGCTACAATATCTTAAGGTACCTGAGATGACTTGCTCTTGGGTGGTGCTTGCTTTACTCTCTCTTAGAAAAGGCTCTAAGATGCCTAAATATAGGGATTCTACATTTAAATGTAGAATCTAAATGTCTAAATTAGCTAGAGATCAGTCATTCTTCTCCACTCTTTTTAGTCACTCACACTTGTTTTGAGGACTGTGTTTCTCCATCCTAAATTGCAAAGCCTGCACCTTTTTTTTTTTTTTCAAACTTTGTGTTTTCTTGTTGCACTGCATTTGCTTGCCAGGTTGATTGGCTAAAGCCAGAGATGTTGATCAAGGAGAGGTTGCCAAAAGCTCTGTTCAGCCTCAGCCCTTTCTCTTCCAAAAAGAACCTCTATCTGCATTTTGTCACAGCCACCAAAGAAAAGCGACTGTGATTTTTATTAAAACAGTCTGCTCCTGTTCCTCCAGGACATGGTAGCTTATGTTCTGTATGAAGGTGCTGTCTGGTTACATCTTAAAGTGTCTGTGAAGAGCACCAATGGAAATTTTGCATGGGGGGATAGGACTTGAATATGTGAATTGGCATACACCATGATGAGGTCTTGAAAAATTTCATCATCTACCAGGGACTTAATCAAATGTTCCCTCAACCTGATGTCATTGTATATTCTGTATAAAGTCAATCCTGGTGTTCTGAGCTCTAGTCCCCTAGTGTAGGAGGGAATTGTGTCTAGCACAGCAGTGAAGTGTGGGGTCAACAAGACAGCTCTTGTCTGTTGTGAGTTTAATTTGCTGAGATCCAGGGAGATGCAGATCATGCAGGACTGTTGTTACAATCTATATATATGATATGCTTTCATATGCAAATATGTATTTTTATGTAACTGTAATAAAGTTTGTTCAAAGTATATGGTGACATTGCCCCAGATTGCTTTCATTACCAGCATAAATATCAGGACAACTTCCATGAATGTGACTGACAGGGGATTCCAGAAAAGAGAGCTGCTCTTTCCTTTAGTTAACAGTTTTTCAGCATGGTCCAGTAGGTAACTAAACCCCCAGGATCTTCCTCATTTCTACTGATTTAAGCTTGGGCTAGGATGGCACACACTGCAATTCTGGACTTGTTCCAGTTTCTTACTGCTCTGCATTGTGTTGTTTAGAAGCTGTTCTGCCAGGGCTAATTAACG